AGGCAAATCCTCCTGGTATTGTGACCTCAAGGTGCAGCAAGGATTTAAAGGAGCCTTGGGCAGTGGCTGCGTCTCTAAGCCCTAAACAGAAGGTGGCAAGGTGGCTCTTGTGGGGGATTATCTTACTGTTTTAAGGAAAGAGGCTAGGTGAGGATGGGTGCCTAGACCGTGGGTCCTGAGCACCCTCGGGCAAACATATACTCTTATCGAAACACACCTTCATCAAACAGGGTTCACTGATCAGAAAGCGGCAGAGGCCCCTCTTTGTCAGCAATGATTGCTGTCTGTGCATGACCCAGAGGGTTCCTTCCTCTGAGGGGAAGCTCGCAGGGGCTTTTACAAGCAAGGCCTAGCTATCCCTGGGAACAGGTGAAGGCTTCCTTTCTCCTCAGCTCCCCACCCCCAACTGCAGGCTGACAGGTGCGGGAGAAGAGTAGAAACAGCTGGGCCAGGACACCTGTTTTCCACTCCATGCCTGGCCAAGGGCCTGCTTGGGGACCACACAGGGAGTCTGCCAAGAGGCAGGCAGGTGTGAGGGCAAAAAGAGAGGGGTCCAGATGTCAAGGGGAGATAGAGCAAGAAGAACCACCCTCACCAGGGTACACGCTAGAGGAGAGCAGCCAGTCCCAAGGGGCCTCCAGCCCATGCATCATATTTCATCTAATGGAAAAGGAAGAACCTAGAAAAGAGACCTATTCCCCCACTCCACGGACCCTCATGTCTTAGTCTTTATTCTCCCAGTCTTCAAACCCAGCCTGGGGGGAGGAGGACATCAGTAGCAAAAACTAGCAAAGAACCTAGGCCGTCTGCTGGGCAGGTTTTGAGGCTGGGAGGCACCTGGCATGGCAGGGGAAGGAGATCCCGTTTCTCATGCCACCCCAGGGTCTGGTCTTCAAAGCCTTCTCAAGTCCTTATCCCTACACCTCAGGTTTTGGCTGAGGGTTCTGAGGGAGGGTGCAGCTGTGACACCTGCCTTTGAACCTTCTTCCTCTAGGAAAGGCAGGGGCCAGGGGAGGAAGATAAGGCTGCCCAGTCCCTGTGCTACCTTCAATCCCTTTCCTGTCTCCTTCAAGCAGAGTTCCAGGGGTCTCTGTGTACTGCTGGCTCCTGCTCTAGTCCTTGTTTTGGGGCTTCTTGCATTGGAAATCTGAAGGAATTATTGTCTCCAGAGTTAGAGCAATACACCCCCAAACTGCCACCAAACCCTCCGAGACCTCTGAGTGCTGCATCGAGGTGGTACCGTGGTCAAGAGCAGCCTGGACCCTTCCTCCTGCAGAGAGATGCCTTCTTGGACAAGAGCCCTGAACCCCTCACAGTGGGCTTCACTGAATAAATCCTTAGTCCTTCAGTTTCCCCAATACCAATGATCAGTTGCAGACAGATTCCTGACCAGCTTAGGACTCTTCACAGACAACATCAGTTCTGGGGATCTCAAAAGTCTTCATTTTTGACTCTGAACCATGCACCCTGTTAAACTGGGTGTGAATAGGTGATGCTGGAGGGGAGAGCTAGGGACAGGCAGGACACGCCTTCCCTGTGGCATGTGGTCTGCCCAGTGCTAGGGGAGAGGCCCCAGAACAGCCGGGGGCGCCACGCCAAGGTCAGTGACCAAGCCTAGAGCTCAGGGCCTCCTGGGAGGGTAAGTTTAAATGAGTAAATATGGTCCCGCCTGGGTGTGGTTTGCCACAGGCCAAAGCTTGGGGCAGGCCACTCCCTCCAGTACCCTACACAGAAGAGGCTGTCAGCCACGGTCAGCCCCCTCAATCCACGCCACACCAGCAGTCCTGCCTAGTTCTGCCACTGGCAACCGGAGCGGGGCTGGCACGAGGGCTGAGCCGACACAAAGGAAAGGTGGGCATGGAAAGCTGTGGGGGCCCAAACGCAGCAGAGCAGCCTCACTCATGGAAGGCGGGTACAAAGCTCCGGCAGCAGAGAAGAAACACACAGGTCACCTAACGGGAGAGACTCCTGCACACCTGGAAAGCTGAGGAGGGAGGGGGCAACTTACCCAAGGCCAGGGTGGGGGACAGTGGCTAGCCAGAGGGTGGAAGTCAGCCAGTGCTCCCTGACTCACAAAGCATGCTCTCCACAGACAGGCCCTGCCTGCCCATCTGTGCTCTGACCTCAACCCTTGCTCCAGCACAGGCTCTCTGGGTCTGTGTGCCTGCCTTTCCCTTCCTGCCTCTAGTCCCTCACCACCCCCCACTCTCCAATCCTTTAATCATCTTTACCACTGCTGCCCCCACCCCCGCAGAGCAACAGCTGCTCTGTGGGTGTCACACCCCTAAGGGTGCGCTGTACACCTTCCCGCATGTGTCCCATGACCTGCTGCAGACTGCCAGGTGCAGCTGGGGCTGCAGGACCCCGCCAGCCTGCTTTCTGGGGAAAGGGGCTCAGAGGTGAGTCTTCCCACAGCTCCAGGACAACACCTCAGAATATGTTTTGTCCTAGGCAGGGAGAGATGAGAAAATATTTCAGAAGCCAAATAGCACCAGCCCCACTAGGCCAAAGGTCAAAGCCTTTTTTAGCAGAGTCACTGGAGAATGCTTGAGATTTCCCCCTCGCTTCTCTGGGAAGTTCCTTCTGATATCCAGGCTCCATCCAGCTTTCCTAACTGTGTAGAGGGCAATGTCAGCCTCAGCACAGCCAGATGTCCGCTTCTATAGCACAGCTCCTAGCTAATACTACCTCTCCCCCATGAGTAAGTCACCAAACTGGGACAGAAGGATAGAGAGGGTTGGATGGACTCTGGCCCCATGACTACCTCATAAAAGCCACCAGTGATTACAGCGATGCGGAGGCTGGACCGCAAGCGACCATTCCTCCTTCCCGCTTCCCTGTAAAGGGAGATAATTTTCTCAGGCCAGTTGGCTTCAGAGAGTCTACAAAGTCCCAGCCATGGTCCCAAAGGGGTGGCAAGAGCCCGCCACCACAGAGCTGCTCTGACCCTTGCCAGTGGGCTCTGGGCTTGCCTTAGATCACCCCCTTAAGAACCTGGATAGCGCCAACTGTATTTGTGACACAAAGTGTCCTCCTTGCCTGCAGCTCCTCTGTAGGCCACACTGTCTGCGCAGGAGGGGCAGAGAAGTGGAGGCAACAGAGAAAAGCCAGCCTACCCACTCAACTCCAGTGTGTGGCAAAATGTCCAACAAGGACCAATGTCAGGCCAGGGCCATCCATGGAGGACAGGAGCTCAGCTGGCAAGGAAGACAAAGCTGGGAAAGGTGGGCAGAGGTCCAGGCCAAGGACAGAAGAGCCAAGGATGCTGCAGCAGAGGCCCCTTTCCAGAGCAGGGTCAGATGGGGCCTCAGTGAGCCTAATCCCATCCCCTGGTCTAGCTCCCAACCTGGGGAGATTTCCTCTGCCTTTCCCATCATACTAACCCAGTGAGAAGAAAGAAAAAAGCCTACTGGAGACAGATTATATAACGGCAACCAGCCAGGCTGTCACATCGCCCAGCCTATGAGCACTAAGAAGTCAGAGGGCCAGAGGAGAGAGCTGGGTCCTCCAGCCCTGATCCCACACAGAGGGGACAGGCAGCCTGCACCTGCCTCCTGCCCAAGTCCCCCACACCCTGTTCCAGGCACAAGCCCTGTGCCCATCCCCCAACACAAAGCTTCCCATACTTTCTGGCTGGGTCCTGATGCCTGCAAGAACAAGGCTTGTATATCTTCATTTCTAACCTTAAGAGTCTCTCCCTGCATGAAATCTGTGGCAGAAAGAGGGGAAACCAAACTCTGACACAGATTGGCTGTGTGATCTCCCGTAAAATGTTTGTCCACTCTGGTAGGTATGGGAATACCTTCCAAGTGAACCTTCTTACAAAAGTACACGCAGCAAGCACACACAGGGTTCGTGTGAAGGGCACAGGAGTCATAATAAAGAATATGACTACTGAGATCCCAAGGTCCCAGCGTCCATTTCTGGGGTACATGGGAAAACTCTACAGAAGCTCCAGTACTCCCCAACCACTCCACAAAATAAGGTTCTCAGCCACTCCCACAACCATCCTACCCCACCCCCATCCTGGAAGACGCAGGAAGGAAATTCATTCACAGGCAAGACCATGAGAGCTGGGATGGCCAGGCTGAGCACTGGGGCTTGGTGGCCAGTGGCCAGAAGCTGGGTGTCTGGGAACACTGACAGGTACCTCGCCAATACTCCCCTCCGCGGACACCTCCGCTAGAGCTGGGAGGGGAACAGAAGGTGGACAGCTCCCAAGGCCTAGTGCACTCAGGAGGCTCCCCTCCGGGAGCCGGCCAGAGCAGCCCAAGGTCACCGTCCCAGGCGGCAAACTTCCCACAGTCAAGACAGCTCAGGCCCACTGAGGGTTAGGGGGAGGGAGAAGATCCGCCACTCACTCAGCCAAAGCAGCTAGGCCTCGGAGGGAAACTCACACGGCGAGGGCAGGGTACCGGATCCACCCCACTGTACTCCCCTGACCTGGCCCTAATGCGCCGGTCAGTCGTTGGCAGAGCTGGCATTCGGGACAACCTGGATAGTCCAGGTCCACTGGGAACCCCAAGGGCTCGACGGAATCTCTGGGAGGCCTCGCTGCCCCATCTCCGCCATGGGAAGCCAGGAGCACCGTAGTCCCTTGGGCCAGCCTCACCACTCGAACCCTACTCGCACCGGCTCGGCCAGCACCGACCAAGGGAGGCCTCGGAGGGAGAGGTCCTGCTAGATATGAACAGCTGCAAACTCCTGGCTAGGGGTGCTCCAGCTGGCATCGCTGACACACCCGACCCCGGGGCCCCACGGGTGCGAGATCGCGGCCGGAGCCACGTGCGTTGCGCCCGCCAGAGCGCGAGGCGGCGGGGGCTCGGGTGCCAGGCGCGGCTGTCACAGCAGACACCCCAGCACCGCCGCCGCCGCCCCGCCCGGCCCGGGACTCTCGCGCCTGGGCGCCTTGGCACCCCTCGCGCTCCAGACCACCCTGCGCCCTGCCGCGCGGCGTGGGGGAGGGGCTCTTAAAGGGACCGGCGCGCGTCGCGACTCACCAGCCCGCGGGGGAACGGGGTTGTCACGGCGCCGGGAGCCTCGGCCCGGCCCGCGGTATCCTCGGCTGCGCGAAGCAGCAGCTCCGGCGGGGAACAGCGAAGGCACCGCGTCCACGCGGCCTGGGCGGCGCCGCAGGGCCCGGACCCCCTGGTGTGCGCGGGGGCGGCGGCGGCGGGCGGCGGGGACGCGGCCGAGCGCCCAAGCCGCCTCGACGGTTGTTGATATTTTGCTTCCTTCCTCCTTTCGGGCTCCAAAGGCAACTCCTCCAGCCCCAGACTCGAGGCCGACGTAGGCACCGCGCACCCTAGCTTGCGGGATGGGGGGGGGGGGGAGTGGTGGGTGATGGACAAGCGGGGGGCCAATGGGAGGGCCTTGCAGGGATGGGGCGGGGCCTTGCGGGGCGGCCTTGGGCGCAGCCACGCCTCCTGCCCTAGCCTGCGCCCCACCCCACCGGGGCGCGCGACCGCGGCGCGTGGAGCCCAGATCCCTCCGCCTACGGGACAGAGCGTGGCCGCGGTACCTCAGCACCCCGGCCCAGAGTTGGCAGAGGTCTAAGTAGATAAGTTTTGGGGAGACGAGAGTGTTGGGAGGCCCCAGCTCCTCCACTTACTGTGTGACAAAGCTCCGGAGGCAGATCGCGTTCTCTCCTCGGGGTTACCTGGGGAGCTCCGCGGCTCCCTCTACCTGTGACAGGTCCCCTCCTTTCCCCTGGCCCGGCTCGGTTGACGCCCAGACATTTAAAGCAACAGTGCATAATTCTCGGGTGACCTAATGTTCGGTGCCCGCGGCCCCAGCGCTTTTAACTATCAAGGGGGCAATTTAAAGGGGCGGGACCCCAACCACCACCACCTCACAGGAAACATCAGAAGCCTCGTCGTAGAGAAGAAACAGTAACTTTTTAAAAGAAAAAAAATTTAAATCCCTTGTGGCCTCTGGGCGTGGCGAATTTTTAAATGCTCACAATATTGTGCATGCCATTGCTTCTCAACACGGACCCGTCTGACTTCCTGTCCAGCATCCTGTCACTTCCAAGGCCTCCGCTGGCTCTACCTGGAGCTTGAACTTCTAAACCAAGCCTGGCAGTAGAGAAGCACAAGGCTCTTGACAAGCTAGAGTCTGGTTTTCTGGACAAAGTCTCTGTTCTGGGTTTTGGGGACTGGGAGAGGCAACAAGTGGTGGGTTAGAAGCATTAACTTGGGTCAGATGTCTAATTCAAATTCTTTCGCTGCTTATGAAGAGCAGAGCACATTTCTTAACTCTCCATCCTCTTGGTTAAGATGAAGACGGTGAGGACAGTACCTAACTTGTGAATCCGGTGTGAGTTTAGTTCCCAGGAGACTATCACAGTGCCTCATGTAATGACCCATGGGCCGCTCAAATGAAAAAAATAAAGAAAGAAAGAAAGAAAGAAAGAAAGAAAGAAAGAAAGAAATAAGAAAGAAAAACCTTTTAGGCCAGGGTGAGTTCAGACAAGGCTCAAGGGGACAAGTTCAATAGGACTGTTCTGCAGAGAGCTTGGAGACTTGTATGTACCTCCTTAAACAGGAAGCTAGCAGACTTCTTGTCCTCCCCTTTCAATCCTACTTGGCCCCTCCTTTCAGAAGCCCGATTTATACAGTATCACACATGGTCCCCAAATGTTGTTCTTTAGTTTCCCTAGTAGTATCGGGGGTAGGGGCTCCCAGCACAGAGATGCCAGTACTCCTGAGCAGGCTGGTTTGCCCCAACACTTCAGGGAGGGCATCTGTCCTTCCCCAAGCACTTGGAGAATACAGCCTTGTTCGGGTTTGAAGCTGTGGTAGGAGCAGGACGAGAAAGTGCCCTCCCAGTGGGGAGCCTCCCCTCACTCAGGCCTCTATTTTTAGTGCTTCCCCAGGCTCTAGCAGGAGAAATCCTTTAGTCATCAGGGTGTTTATTTTCCGGCTGCTTCCGACGTCGGGAAAAGCAGAATGTTGAGACTGGAGAGATCCAGGGCTGCTGTAAAAGACTTCTCAGGAACCGGCCTGAGAACACAGCCTTCAGACCACTGGGTCCCAGCTCACAGGAAAACAAAACAGGATGGGCCCCGGACAGCTAAGCCCTCAGGAGTTTCCAACCTGCCTTAACCTTGGAGGCTATCCAAGCTTAGAGAGCCCTCTGGCCCAGCTCTATTTGAAGACTGTTTCTCAAAACAACAACTAAGTCCAGAAGAAATTCTTTCCCAGAATCCCCCTCCCCATCCTCTCGAAGGTCTGCTTGGTGAGCCTCCCGCCAACCACAACCCTAGCCAATCTCAAACCTGAGGCGGGCCTTCCAGAGCTAGGATTGGTTGGCTGGGCCTCCTAGACCTGGAATGTTGAGTCTTTAACAAAGGAATGAGGAAGGAAGGTGAGTCACCTGGGGAAGACTTTAAAGGACTAGCTAGGAGGAAAAGGAAAAGGGAAGCGCTCCAGGGAGGTGGGGGCCCTGGACGCTGACAGCTGACTGGACAGATCACACGAGACCTGAGTAGGGGGCAGTAATACAAGGGGGACAAAATTCAGAGTCTGAAAACGTCTTGGAAGAGAAGAGAAAAGGTAACAATCGTGAAGTCTTGATTTCCACAGAGGACCGAAAAGGGCCAAGGTAATGTTGGATGGAGGTTGGATGAAAACTGGACTTCTTGAAAGTGACTCTGAATTCTTTTCTTCTGGCCCCTGGACTTCCAATCCCAGAATCCTCTGGGTGGCAAATGACTGTCTCACGTTTCCTCTCTCATCTCTGACTGTGCACCTATCTCTTATGAATTAATTTATTGTTTGTTAGCGTGCCATAGTGCATGCTTAGAGGTCAGGGGACAATTTTGTGGAGTTAATCTCTCCTTCCAACTTTCCATGAGTTTTGGGCTGAAACTCAAGTTTGCCAGGCTTGGTTGGCAATCGCTTTACTGGCCAAGCCATCTCGCCGGCTTCTACCCATCTGTTCTAAAGAAAAGCCACCTTCCAGCCCAAAGCTACTGTAAAATCCCCCCCCCGTGGGCCCTTGGGGGCACTTAGATGCCCACAAGTCCTGAAAATAATACCGTGTAAACTCACCTGCTGTGCTGTCTTCTTCCCAAGGCTCTCTGGCAAACAAAACTTAACCCTCCTTTATCCGCCCCTTCTCAGCCTTCTCCAATTCACCTGTGCTTGGTGTCTTTTCCCGCAGGTCCTCATCTCTCTCAACACCCCTCTTCCACCTGGCAGTCCTTCCTCGACCTAGGGAAAGTGCTCTTGCCGCCCCTTCTAGTCTGATGAGCGGCTTGCCAGGCCCTCCTCTCACCTTCCTTCCCCTGCGCCATCTGGATAGCTCTCAATCCCCACCTCCACACGCAGCTCAGCCACCGAACTCGTCCTTCTTCCTCCAGTTTTTGAGTGATTCCAGCAAAGAGCCCCCCTACCCAACCTCTCCCCGCATCTGTCACCAAGCTTGCGAACCGGACCCTCAGCAGGTGGGCGTATATATTCTCTGCGCGATGATGGGACTCTGCACTCTGTCCCTGTCTCCTCAGGACGCGCTAGCTTGCTGGTTTGGGTTTCTAAGGTACTTTTCCTTACCAGCTCCTGAGTTCCTGCAGGAATGCAGAGCTTTGCAGAGCTGGCGTGGAGCGCGCTTAGCAAATGTATATACGCAGCTGTGTGAGTTAGGATTGTGCAAACTCTACTGATCATCTCATTTCTGCATCGATAATCGTGGTAGCCAAACACAGGGGTCGAGTCTGGGGTCCTACGACTCCACTTCAGGGCAGAGTTGGGGTGAGGGATAGCCGAATCCGCCGGAGTCAAGCCCGTGTGGCACAGTAGTGCTCTACGCTGCCTGGGACCAGACGTGGGGACACGAGCAGAAGCCCCTGGAGCTGAGAGGGAGAGGTGCCAGAGCGGGTCCCAGGTCCGTGTTCCCCCCCCCCCCGCCGGCTGGGCAGGATGTGGTGGCAGCTGCAGTTGGGTGGGCAGGATGTGGGGGTGGGGGCAGACGAACGCAGCCTGACAGCAGTTCCCCCCCCACCCCAGCTCCCGCCTCCACCCCCTCCGGGTCACGTGCTCTCAGCTTGGGCACCGAGGGACTATTTCCCATTTTTCGCGGAAGGACATCTCAACCCGTCGCCATGGACTTAAGTTGTATCACGCCATTTTCTGGACCCCCCTCTCCAGCCCAGAACAGAAAGTTTGCCCAGTACACATTTCTGGAAAGCGTGGATCAACTCGGAAGAGGCCCCTTTAAATGCAAATGGTCGCCCTCTTGCTCTGCTCCCCCTCCTCCCCAACCCCCATCCCAACTTCTCTCCTCGTGCCCAAACTCCACCAGCTGCTATTGACGTCAATCGTGCGTCAGCATCTCCAGCCCAACCAGACAGCACGTGGGGGAAGAAGGCAATCTTAAAGGGCCAGTCGCTCAGGGCCTTTTAGGTTACCGGAGATGGAAAAGCTAAGTGGAATGTTGGAAACTGTTGGAGCGAGAAGAAATGCAGGGGAGACTTTCAGACTTTCAGAAGGACTGCTTAAGGCCGGCGAAGTGGCTCAGCGGATCCGGGTACTTCTTTCTGTGCAAGCCCGAGAATCACCTCCCCAAAGTTATCCTCTGACCTTCACAGCATTTTCTCCCCCCCCCCCCCGCACACATAATGTAATGTATTAATAAATCTTTTTTCGTTGTTTTTTTTTTATTTGTTTGTTTTTTGAGACAGATTATTTTTTGTAGCTTTGGAGCCTGTCCTGGAACTAACTTGCAGACTAGGCTTACCTCGAACTCACAGAGATCTGCCTACCTCTGCCTCCCGAGTACTGCCACCACTGCCCAGCTAATTTAAAAAATATTTTTTAAAAAGACTTCTCAGAGTAGGAGAGTATATTCTCTTTTTCTGTTTTCCTCTTTTTTAAATTTTACTTCCTATTGTGCGTGTGGAGGTCAGAGGACAACTCGCAGCAGTTGGTTCTTCCACCTGCTTTGGGACCTCAAGCTGAGCCCACATTTAATTCTCCCTCTCCTCTCTTACCCTTTAGGACTTGAACCTAGGGGTCTCACACATACTAAGTACACATTCTACTATTGAGCTACATGCCCCAGCTCAAGAAAGTGAATCCTAAAGCAAGCTTTTTCTTTCGATTTCCCCCAGAGGTTTGGGTTTGTTTATCTGGGAAAGAAACCCAGGAGCTGCAGGGGCAGGCTGAGTTAAAGGCAAATGAGGCTTGGCTTTTAAGAACCCTGGGTTGCCAGACAGATCTCCTATGAGTTCAAAGCTGCCCTGTTTTACAGAGCTAGTTCCAAGACAGCCAAGGCTACAGACAGAAACCCTGTCTTGAAATACTAGAGAGAGGAAAGAAAACGAACAAAACCAAAAAAAAACAAAAGCAAACTAAAGGAAACCCCCAGGAAGCCTGAGTTCTAGTTGGGTGGAAGCACTGGGGGTAGAGGATCTCTGTGAGCTCCAGTTTAGTCTACTGACAGAGCCACGCAGGGCAACCCTGTCTGGTATGGGCTGGGACAAAACAACCAACCAACCATGACAGTCTTCTCCCTCACCCTGCTCAGTGTATCTGTGTATCTGTTCACAAAGTGCTATGCTCCATCTAGAGCAAAGAACCGAGTAGACACTCAGTTAAGTATTTGTAGAATGGGATAATTGATGCCTTGCGCCCATGCCGACTCCCCCTTTTCCATAGGCTCTCCTATTTGTCGCATGCACACAGAACACATTCGGGTACCAGGTGATCTTGCTTTTGGAATGCATACAGTTTTTATTGAGCTCTTTGGACCTTAGAGCCATGTGCAGAGGAACCTAGGTCCCAGCTCTGGTTCTCCTATTTGTTAATTGGCTGACCTTGGGCAGTGTTACTTGGTGGGAGTATTAAATGGGGCAATTTCATCAGAAGCTTTTTGCTTGTTTGTTTGACAGAATCTCACTGTGGAGCCCTGACTGGCCTGGGACTCACAAGAATTCCCCTGCCTACATAGGAAGTAGGTCTCCTGAGTGAGTTGGGAGCATGGAGACCATGGGAGAGGATAGAAGGTGAGAGGAGAGGAAGGGAGGGGAGCAGAGAAAAATATATAGCTCAATAAAAACAATTTTGAAAATAAAATGTATCATTGGTGTGTGCACATGTGCTCCCGTGCGGTCCCCAAGCCTTCTGTGAAGTTCACGGATCACACTTAACTTGCGACAAACACTCAGGGGTAGTGCAGAGTATTGTGGGGTGTCTGTCTTTTTTAGGACAGACTCACTGGTTGGCACTCTCTGGCCCTAAACTGTTGACCCCCCCTGCCTTGAGTACTGGGCTTGAAAGCCTGACTGGACATGGACTCTGAAATGACCCTCTCCCCAACTAAACTGTGAGCTTCTTGAGAATAAGGTGATAAATTTTATTTCTAGCACCAAATGCAATATGGAGCTTGTAGCTGGTGCTTTAAAAAATGTTTGCTGAGAGCGAGCAAGGTGGCTCACGGGTAAAGGCACTCGCTGTCAAACCTGGGAAAGTTCCCAGGCTCCACAGGATGGAAAGAAAGAATTGGTACCTGAAAGTTACCTTTTGACCTTCACAAGAGTGCTGATGGGGGCTGGAGAGATGGCTCAGCGGTTAAGAGCATCGCCTGCTCTTCCAAAGGTCCTGAGTTCAATTCCCAGCAACCACATGGAGGCTCACTACCATCTGTAATGGGGTCTGGTGTCATCTTCTGGCCTACAGGCGTACACTTAGACAGAATATTGTGTACATAATAAGTAAATGTTAAAAAAAGAGGCTGATGTGTGAGAATGTACACACACAGAGCTGTGATGAATTATTTTAACATTTGTTGAGGGCTGGAGAGATGATGGCTCAATGCTCCTGAAGAAGACTCAAGTCCAGCTTATAGCACCTACGTCACAATGGCTTGTAGCTCCAGCTCCAGGGGATTGAATGCCAGCTCCTCAGGCAGCCATACACATAAATATATAAAAGTATAAGTAGATCATGGGACTGGAGAGATGTTAGAAAACACTTGCTGCACCAGGCGGCTGTGCACGCCTTTAATCCTAGCACTCAGGAGGCAGAGGCAGCTAGGTCTCTGTGAGTCTGAGTTCAGCCTGGTCTACAGAGTGAGTTCCCAGGATATCCAGGGCTGCACAGAGAAACCCTGTCTTGAAAGGAAAGAAAGAAAAAGAAGAAAAAAAAAACTACTCTTGCAGTGACATTCAGTCACTGTGGTGGTTTGAATAAAAATGGTCCCATAGGTTCATATGTTTGGTCCCCAGTAAGTGGAACTATTTGGGAAGAATTAGGAAGTGTGACCTTGTTGAAGTAGAGGATGTGTTCCACCGGGGGTAGACTTTGAGGTTTTAAAACTCCAGGCCCAATCCCCCCACCACCTCTTTCTGCCTCCACCTTATGGGTCTGGATGTAAACTCTCACCTACTGCTCCTGCACGTGCCTGCTGCCACACTCCCTACCATGATTATGATTGACTCACCCTCTAAAACTGTAAGCAAACCCCAGTTAAGTGCTTTCTTCTAGTAAGTTGCCTTGGCCATTGTGGTTCATCACAACAATAAAGTGACATCACATCCCAGTGACAACACATCCCAGTGACGTCACTTCTCAGTGACACCACATTCCAGCGACATCACATCCTAGTGACTTCAACTCCCAGTGACATCACCTCCCAGTGACATCACATCCTAGTGACATCACATCCCAGCGACATCACTTCTCAATGACATCACGTCCCACTGACACCAATCCCAGCAACAGCACATCCCAGTGACATCACATCCCAGTGACATCACCTCCCAGCGACACCACATCCCAGTGACATCACCTCCCAGCGACACCACATCCCAGTGACATCACCTTCCAGTAACACCACATCCAGTGACCTCACAGTTACTAAGAAAGTCATCCATGGACAGCATTAAGAGTTCCAAGCTTCCTGTGCTACATGAGACACCATCTAAAACAAAACAACACAATACACGCCTGTTAAATAAGTAAAAAGGACAAGGTTAGTGACTTTTGTATTTCCCGATTCTGAACTACGTTCCCACTCTGAAATTATCCAAGAGAGAGCGTGGTATAATCATGGCAGGTTTTAACTCTGAGAGCTGAGTTGCCTCAGCCAAATGCTTTGAAACACGGGAGGCTGTGCCTGCTTCCTGCCGGGAGACCCACAGCCCCCAGTCTCATTCTGTGGCCCAGGATGGCCTGAAGCTGCAATCCGACTTCGGCCTGAGTGTAATTACAGATACTTAATGCAATGTCTAAGGCAGGAACTTTTTGGTCAGATAGTAACTTAACCTGGTATTCTCTTCTGTGAAGTTCCACCCCTGCTGCCCCAGCTGCCCCATCCCTACCCCAGCTGCCGTCCTCTCCTTATTTCTGCCTCCACTCCTCACCCTGACCTTCATTCCCGTGGTGAGAGAGCAGAGTCTCCTGTCACCTGATTCCAGTTTCTTGTGGTTCAAAACCACCTAGTCCTTGTTCAGCCTGTCTTGCAGCTGCTTATTGATCCCCTTGTCAATTTCTGTCACCCTCTTCAAGGATGAAGGCCTGACAGACACCAGAGGGCACTTCCTGCCTGGTAACAACTGAGCCCAGGAGGCAGGGCCACCAACTTATTCTGGAAAAAGAGGCCCAAGTAAAGCTGAGATTCCTCTGGCTCAAAGCAGCCCTGACGACCCATGAAACCCAAAGAGTGAGGTGGGTTTCCCCACAGGAATCTCCAGGCAGCCTTGGTGCTGGCTCCACCCTCTGTAGTGGTTGGGTGCCACCAGGAGCGCTGTGTTCCAGAAAACCCCAAAATAACCCATCTTCACTGTCCGGCTGCTATTTCTGTCCACGCTGTTTAATTATTCAAACCCAAGTTAGGGAGTGAGCTATATAAAGCCCTTCTACTTGGGGACCAGGAGAGCTGGGAGACTCTCCAGGTTGCAACAGCATCAGGCAATGGGGTTTGGTGAGATCACTTGGCCCAGGACTAAAAGTACCTGCTGTCTACTGTCAGCTGGCTTCCTCAGCTATAAGGAAGCGACTTGCCCCAATTTACAGTTCACTCCTCCAGCCTGCTGGCCGCTAGCTGCCCCACCCTGTTGCGTGTCCCTTCAGCCTTCAGTCTCAGCTGGCTGTGTGCTAGACTTGGAGCCTTTGGAGCCTGTCCTGGAACTAGCTCTTGGTAGACCAGGCTGGCCTTGAACTCACAGAGATCTACCTGCCTCCCTCGAGAGTGCTGGGATTAAAGGCTTGCGCCACCACCTCCCAGCAGCTTCTTTACCAGATGTGATGTAAGAGGCCAGACTTGGTGCCGGACCTGAATGTGATGCAGCCCAATTCACACCTAGGCCATTTTGGACTAGTGACTTATCCAGCAAGGCTCTCCCTATAGCATCACCACTAGAGTTACTAGGGTGCTGCTGCAGGACAGGGAGGATGTGTGGTTACCAAGCAACAGAAGGCACATAGGAGGGGTCCTGACACTGATGGTGAGCAAGGAAACTGGAAAGGGCTGGATGGGCTAAGTATATAGCTCTCTCCTGCTTCCCCATAGCTACAGAGTGAGGATGACCACAGCTCAGCAAGCAAGGAGGAAGAAGTGTGTGAGCCTTCCCTTAACTTGGTGACGTAGGTGCCAGCCTTAGACACTAACAGGACTGAGAGCCTGGGCTGTGCAGGGCTAGGACAGTCCTGGGTTTCAGTA